ACTCATTTTTGAGTTCCAGCCATCGCAACTTACTTTTAACCTAGTTTTTCAAACTTTTAAAAATTATTTTAGGCCATTATGTGCAAGTGTAAATTCTGTATTTTCCGCAACAGAAACCCACATCTCTCTGTCTGACCCAGAGTCTGCTGCAGGAACTTTATTGACAGTCATGATTCTCGCAGAGAGTTCCTAATACTTCCCGTCTACACAGTGAGAGCTCAAACCCACACTGGTCGGGTGTCAAACAACTAACCACTGACAACAACAAAATTACATTGACAGTCTCTGGGGGGATGGGGGGAAGAGAGATGTACTTGCTCCAAGGTGACATGCTTGTTTGTGGAGTGTCGGAGTCAAGCCAGTCTTGTTAGTTCAGTTCCTGAGCCAGGTGGGTCCGCTATACTCCAAGGTACTGCTGATGACAGCACTGCCAGGCTGGCTCATTGGGAGGACTTGGAAGAGCACACCAGTCACTGGGGGCAGGGACACTTCCCACCCAGCTCCTGTTAACCCCGCAAGCCAAAGCCCTAATGGGTAGTACCTTCGGTCACCCTCCTTTCCTCTCCACCCTCCCCGATCCTGACCCTCAACTCTGATCGTCCAGCGTCTTGGAATGTCCTCCTGACGTGAAAGTGACTACGCAAATGTAATTTTGTTGTTGTTTTTGTTGTAGTGTGGTCTTGAGGTTTTAGCTGGTTAGACTCCAGCAGTTACCTCGATGCACACTCTGGGGTCCCCAAGACTCAGCTCTTGCCAACCTGCACCTAATACTTTCCGGAATTAGGTAAGCAGGATGCATCCCTCCAGGGAGAGAGTGCGCATTCCATTCTACTAAATATCTCTGGAATTTCCATGTATGGGCGGATACTCCTATCCTTTTTAAGAGTTCAGATAATCTATGTGGGTTAATATCATCTAATTCCCCTCAATTGTAGCTCAATCATTTCTTGTTTTATAATGGAAAAAACTGCATTTGATATGGCACCTACAACATCTAAATTCGCTTCAACAAATTCTTTTGCACCCCTACTTAAACTTATATTAGCAGTGAATACATTTTTTAAAAAGACATTGAAGTGGCTTGAGTTCTGCAGTGATAGAATGAAGCCTTGTAAGTTGTTTCTCATGTGAGCAAAGTAGAAATCCAGAGTTCACCTGAAGATGGCCACACTTTCTGTACCACGTTTTCACCCTTACGACCTTGTTTCTCGTTTGGGGCTGGGGACTTTTTTAAAAAAAAAATAGACTCAAATGTATAATTAAAATATCCCTACACAATTATAAAAAAGGTGGGAAATATTTTTCATTCTAGGTCTGCTTTAAGATGTTAAATTGGAAACTTATCTATTACGTACAATATTTTCAATCTGATGTAATATTTTGTGCTCGTAGCAGCTGTCTGGAGAAGGACAAAACATTACTGCTGAGCTTAGAGTCCCTAAGCCCCACTGTTGGCTTAGAGTTGCATGGAGTGGATCCCTTGAATGCAGCCACTTGGAGTGCAATCCATTGGGAAATAAAAAAATCATGAATGCACATGCCACCTACATATTTCTGCACCTGGAATGGAATGCACACACTCTCAGGACAGTCATACCCTGCTTACCTAATCCTAAGATTAGGAGGTGCAGGTTAGCCAGAATGTTGTTTTAACTTCTGGTTTGTGTGAAATACAGTATGTACCTTTTCAAATTAGTTTAGTAGTGTGGTACATGACCATGTAAAATCCAGTAAGCAGTAGAATTATGAATGTACACACCCAGGCATCCTTTCAAATAAGTGTAAATTACAAATCTCTGGGATCTGGATTTCCCTTGTAAGAACTGGTGCTAGGCAATTGCAAAGTGATCTTGCAGAAAGATCTGAAAGTGATCTTGTACCCAGATTAAAAGTTGCTTTGTGTACATATGAGAATGCATAAGATCTGAGTAATGGAATGCTGAGTAATTTTTTTTAATAAGTGCTGTTTTCTTTCCACATCTGTGACCAATTTGAATCACATCGACTGGCGTCAAAATCTCTCTTCTCTCCACAGATATCCACACCGTCAGGGTTGTTTGTTGTTTCAGACCTAAGCCTACTTTCAGACAGCAGATTACATAATGTGCGTTTGAACAGAAGTGCGGAAAATTCTCAGAAACAATATTTAATGTGTGGACATTTCATAGTACAAGCGCAGACTATATTTACACTGTGTTTCTTTTTTTAAAAAAAAAGTTTTCTCCTCATCAAAGCGAGACCTATGGGGCTCATAGTTTATGAGAGACGTGGTCAAGGTCATATTGTCTGTGGATTTAAACCAGCAAAATTATTTTTAAATAACTCTTAACTTTGCACAGTTAAGTGCACAGAACACAAAATGTTCATGAAATCTAATACAAAAGAGGAAGCAATGGTAAACTAAAACTGGATCATTAAAACATGAAATAAAAACAGAAAGAAAAACAAGTCCAGTAATTGGTGACAGTGTTTTTAGCCAGACCCACCCCCCCACACACACAGCCCCCCCCCCACAGCCCCCCCCCACACACACACAGCTCCCCCACACACACACAGCCCACCCCCACAGCCCCCCCCACCCCCCCCACACACACAGCCCCCCCCACAGCCCCCCCCACAGCCCCCCCCCAGACACACAGCCCCCCCACAGCCCCCACCACACACAGCCCCCCCACACACACACCCCCCCCCACACACACAGCCCCCCCCCACACACACAGCCCACAGCCCCCCCCACACACACCCCCCCCCCACACACACAGCCCCCCCACACACACACAGCCCCCCCCACACACACACACAGCACCACAGCCCCCCCCACACACAACAGCCCCCCACACACACACAGCCCCCCCCCCACACACACACAGCCCCACAGCCCCCCACACACACACAGCACCACAGCCCTCCCCCCCCACACACACAGCCCCCCCCCATACACAGCACCCCCCACTCACACACAGCCCCACAGCCCACCCACACACACAGCCCCCCCCACACACACACAGCCCCACAGCCCCCCCCACACACAGCCCCCCCCACACACACACAGCCCCACAGCCCCCCACACACACACACAGCCCCCCACACACAGCCCCCACCACAAACAGCCCACAGCCCCCCCACCCCCCCCACACACACACACAGCCCCCCCCACACACAGCCCACCCCCACACACACAGCCCCCCCCCACACACACAGCCCCCCCACACACAGCCCCCCCCCCACACACACACAGCCCCCCCCACACACAGTCCCCCCCCACACCACAGCCCCCACACACACAGCCCCCCCCACACCCACAGCCCCCCCCCACACATACCCCCACACACACACACACACAGCCCCCACCCCCCCCACACACCCACAGCCCCCCCCACACACACCCCCCCACACACACACAGCCCCGCCACACACACACACAGCCCCCCCCCACCCCACCCCACACACACACACACACAGCCCCCCCCACACACACCCAGCCCCCCTCCCCACACACACCCCCCCACACACACACAGCCACACACACACACACACACACAGCCCCACACACACACACACACAGCCCCCCACACACACACACAGCCCCCCCCACACACACACAGCCCCCCCCCCACACACACACACAGCCCCACAGGCCCCCCCCACACACACACAGCCCCCCCCCACACACACACACACAGCCCCCCCACACCACACACACACACAGCCCACAGCCCCCCCCACACACACACACACAGCCCCCCCCCACACACACAGCCCCCCCCACACACACACAGCCCCCCACCACACACACACACACACACACAGCCCCACAGCCCCCCACCGCACACACACACACACACAGCCCCCCCACACAGCCCCACACACAGCCCCTACACACAGCCCCCCCTACACACAGCCCCCCCACACACAGCCCCCCCCTACACACAGCCCCCCCACACACACACAGCCCCCCCCCAGACACACACAGCCCCCCCCCCACACACAGCACCACACACAGCCCTCCCCACACGCACAGCACAGCCCCAGCACCACATCCACCATCATATACACAGCACAGCCACCAGCACCATATACACCACCAGCATGTTCACAGCACCATATACACCACCAACAAATACATATCTGTGTTGTCAATTTTTGTAAAATACGTGTATGCAAGGTTATTTCAGTTTTTCGTCATTTTGCTATCAAGTTATACTTGAGTTGTTGAAACATACGGGTAAGAGAATATTGAAGTAGTATACATATTATTGCACACTTAGACCTTTTACTCAAATTTCATATTTGAAAAATCTGCAAAATAGACCAGATTTTATAAAATTATCAAGTTTAATGGTACCTGAAGGGGAATTTCATATAGCATGATTTTGCTGATACGCCGGTGTTCCGCGGACCCATTCGCCAAAAACATAGTCCACCCGACTTGCAGTGTTTAAAAAAACACGAAAAAAAACAACAGTCTTCCAGGTCATTAGGTTGTTGCAGATGCCAATTCCTGCATTATGCAGTCATTTCAGAAATATCAGTGTCAGATTGAGAGAAATTTATTAACAAAGATTAAAAACTAGATTCAGTATGGCCAAATGCTGGGAAAGGAGGGTTATTAATCCATTGCCAATAACCCTCATGACGATCGCTCATGTTGGGGTTCCGTGATGGCCATTTTCTCAATCAAGTGGCTTTTCTTTATCGATGAGTGTCTCTTGTGGAGGCAGAGGGAAAGCATCATGATCATGTCGTCATCTGATACTCACAAGTATCAGAATTTTTCTCCCAAGTTATCTTTTCAATGAGTCTATTGAAGGACCCTTCCCTATTATCCTGATATGAGATCAGTTACGTCCGTATATACCAGAGAACCATGGGGCTGCCCTTGTATGAGTGGCCTGGTATTGTACTATGTAGTGCTTTATTGTTATTTGGGAAGCTACAGAAATCTGTAAAATGTTCTCTACTAAAAATTTCTAGTAATGAACTAAATGCAAGCAATATTGATTGTACTTGATGCTTTATTCAAAGCCATCCCACACTTTGGAGACCTGAATATGGCAGCTATATGATTGAAGGGACACCAGGACAACCGTATGGGGGAACTATGGCTGATTTTAACACTGTGGAAGCAAACATGAAATTACGTCGACAAGAAGTATTTTCACTTTTGAAAGATAATGAGACCATATGCAGCATCACAGCTTTCCCCAGGTTAGTATTTAACTTTTTATTGAAGTTTCAGTGAGCATGGATAAAGAGAGAAAATGGCAGCTTTAAATATTCGTATTGTAGCTGGTTTTAATTTGTTTTTGTTTTCAGTCTAAAAAAAATGTTAAATTCTACTTTTATCCACTTCAAATGTTCTTTTTCTTTGGCTTGTATCCCAGCATCTCTCTTACCAGTTTCACGCCTTGCTCTCCCACACCTGTTCACGAACCCCTCCAATTGAGTTTCTGTGCCGCCCACAGCACCGAAACAGCCCTGGTCAAAGTGACAAATGACATTCTGTCCATCAGTGACCAGGGATCTCTCTGCCTCTTCGTCCTCCTTGACCTCTCTGCTGCCTTCGACACCGTTGACCAGTCTATCCTCATCCACCGCCTCTCACCTCAACCTTCACGGTTCTGTACTTGAATTGGTTCAGATCGTACCTCCCTTCCCGCCTCCACTTCATCTCTACAAACAGCTTGTCCTGTAATCCCCACACCATCTTGTGCGGTGTTCTTCAGGCTCTGTCTTGGTCCCCTCCTCTTCAATATCTATATGCTCCCTCTTGGTGACATCATCTGCAGACACAGGATCAACTTCCACATGTATGTGGATGACACCCAACTGTATCTATCTCTCTGCTTCCACCCTTGACTCCAGGACCACTGATGTCCTGTCAGAATGTCTGTCAGACGTCAAGTAATGGATGAGAGTTAACTTTCTGCAGTTGAAAGTCAGCCTGACCGAGGCTCTCCTGATTGGCTCCCGTCAGCGCCTCCTCACCTCAGCGCGGACAGCATCACCATCCATGGTTGCACACTTCACCTCGCTAAGCCAGTCCGAAACCTTGGCATCTTGTTTAACCCTCAACTATCCCTTCTACCCCACATCCGTGCCGTGACCCACTCTGCCTTTCCCCACCTCCGCATCATCGTCCAGCTGCACCACTGTCTCACACAGTGATGTTTGACATCGGAAATATTTGACATATGAGAATGTACCATTAGAACTCACTGTTATAACTTGAGTTTGTGTATAAATCATTTGGGTTATAGCCCCCAACATTTCTTACCCTAAAAATCCTGACCCTTGACCATTGAAATCCATTGTCGCAAATCTCGCTTGAATTGGCATTGTTGCGCTTCAGAATGAGTTGGCTCAGCAACTGGTCTTGAAGAGCAATCGTGCAATTTAAAGCACCATTTGTGGTGATGGAACAGGCCATTTTTCTGCGCCTAAGCTCCGTAATATCACCATTCGTGATCAGTGGTGTCATAGTCCTGTAGCTCAGTGGTTAGAGCACTCGCCTTGCAAGCGAGACACCTGGGTTCAATTCCAGGCAGGGTGAAACCTTGGGCAAGTTTCCTTACTCCACACGCCTAATAAAAATCCCTCCAAAACAAATTATAAATTGCTCATTTTCAATCCACGACTGTTTGTGGGACATTGCTGTGCACAATTGGCTGCCGCGTGTCGCCCACACATATACGGTCAGTTCACTTTAAGGTCTATTCTGTGAGACGTCGAGAAGACGGGAAAAGCGCTATATCAGATGCAACGATTATTATTATTATAGTGTGGAAGTGCTGACTGGTGGCATCTCTTCATTGCTCCTCTTAAAAGTGGGTTGGAATTTTAAAGACCTGCCTAGCTACTTATAAGGAGCATCTACATTGTAATACAAGTCTTTTACTCTTCCAGTAGAAATTTTGATTTGGACATTAAATAAAACCTTTGCCTTTGTCGTACATTAAGATGGAAGGCACTGTAGCAACTTCTGTAACTAAACTGCGCAAATTGATTTAGAAAGTTTTGGTAAACATTTTGTATTTGAAATCTCTAGGTTGGGATGTCCGGGGTTCACACAACCTGAATACGATCCAAAGCCACTTGAATGGGGAGCATCCAAATCATTGTTCTTTCCTGATGAAGGAATTAATAAACATCCAAGATTCAGGTGAGCTTATAGTGACCTGTTACTAAATAAAGCGTCCCTATCCTCCCAACTCTTCCTGTAAAACTAAAATACTAATTTGAGTGGAAGTTTCTACTACTCATGTCACATTTCAGAATGCAACATTTTGAAGCATTGGAACAATTCAATTTTTTTTCTATACTACTTGGTCTACTAAGTTGAAACTACATTGCATGTACTTGAATTCAGGAAAGTATTTAGAGGTGCTTGTAGTAAAGTTAGCTATCTATGTTGGCTTTTAGTACAAAAAGATATAGTTATCTTTCAGTACATCTTTGGAATAAGAATGTGGGGAAGGGCAGATAAATCGGACTGAAAGGGTTGCCCTTAAAAGAACCAATGCAATTCTGTTCTATCCATTTCTTTGGTTCTACCTTATTTTGTCCTTCTTAATAAAATGACCTCATTGATAAATTTGGGATTTTGGGCACTGTCAATTTTTAAAAAAAATTCAATAGGGTCTGGATAATGAATTGACCCAATTACTGAATTCTGCACAAGATGAAGTTTAATATGTTTCAGCTTGAGTTACTGGGTAGACAGCACGATCAAAAATATTGACTAGAGTAATTTGTCACTTCTTTGGCTAAACTTTTGAATCGATTGATAGTGGAGTTAGATATGTCATGATTCTCTTACAAGCCCCAGTTTGGCAGCTTTTCCTTTGACGGAAAATAACCACTTTATTATTCTTAATTGCCTGCCTCCATATAAACAGGAAATTTTAATAGGAGATGGTTTATGTGAAACAACATAACAGATCTGGTGCAAACCCTGGACTGTTGGTGCCTTGAGACGTCCTCACGATATTTGATTATTCTGTATTTGGAGAATGGATTGCAATACTCTCATAGAATGAAAAATTCCAGGAAAGGTAGTTGCCTTTATTTTATCAGATTTAGGCAGGACTGATGATTCTGTTAGTGAATGGACTGTTGGGAATCAATTCGATATTTTAAATTTTGAAGATGAAATGACAACAACTGGCATTTACACAGTGCCCTTCACATGGGGTAGCTTCCTGGAGTTCTTCACAGTGGCTGAGTCTGACACCGAGCCAGAGGGAAGGGGGAGGTGGCTGTAAGCACGATCAAAAAGGAAGGTCTTTAGGCAGGATTTGACTATAGAGTATGAGGTAATATTTGACTTGTTACATGTACATGGGATCTTGATGGGCTTTTAGAAATATCTGCTGAATCTGTATGGCAAAAGATATCCGTTCAATCTCTATAGAAGGAATACTTAACTCAAAATACACAGATACATGATTCAGTGCCCTTTAACATTTTCACAACCTGAATTTCGAGCGAATTGTTTAGTTTTCAACTTTTCATGATGCTTTTATATGTTATGACGACTACATACAAATCCAGTCAAATGTAAGTTAAGCTAGAAGATGTAAGTTATGTTTACATACATATATAGATGTAATTTCAAGCTGTTGCTTTTCTTTTTTCAGCACTTTGACTAGGAATATCCGTCACAGGCGAGGAGAGAAAATAGCTATTAATGTACCAAGTAAGTCTATAAAATGTTATAAATTGTCTAAATTAACTTGCACATAGTTTCTAAAAAAATTTCCCTTTTCCCATAGAACCTTAATATAGTCAGCTATATTTATTCTTCCCAGCAAAGCAAATCACTTCACATTTCCTTGCATTAAATTTCATCTGCTGCTTTTTCTGCAACCATTGAGTTTTAACACTGCTGGTTAAACTCAAGCAATGCTTCCAACTCACGGATTTATATTCCCACGTCTTGGCTTTTGCCAACCTGCGCCTAATATTCTCTGGAATTAGGTAAACAGGTTGCATCCCTTCAGGGATTGATTGCGTTCCCAATTTGGAAATGACCATCTGTGGGTGCATGTATATGTAGAACTCTACCTGGTCTGGGTATTGCTGAGCATAGTGATGGGTTTCTGCAGGCATCAGACACCTAGCTGACCAAAAACAAATCGACCTATTTACACACTGATCTGGAGAGGTTTCATAATGCAGTATGTAATGTTCTTCCCTAACAAAACTTCCTCTAGCTCAGTGGTTAGAGTACTCGCCTCGCAAGCGAGAGACCTGGGTTCTGTTCCGGGCAGGATGAAATGTTGGGCAAGTTTCCTTACTCCACAAGCTTCTGTTTACCTAGCAGTAAGTAGGAATCCGGTTGTTAGTCGATTGGCGGATCGCTTTTCTGGGGATATTAATCCCTCAAAATAACAATAATAACTTGGTCATTCAATCCACGATTGTTTGTGGGACACTGCTGTGCACAATTGGCTGCCACGTTTCGCCCACAGATATACAATCAATTAATTTTACAGTATATTCTGTGAAGCTCTTCGAGACGTCTAGAAGACATGAAAAGCGCTATATCAAATGCAAGGATTATTATTATAATTATTAAAAATATAATAAGCCTGATGAAGAAATCAATTGTTTTTTTGTTAAGGTGAAATGTAGTCATCATATCCTGTTTTCTGTAAACTGTTTGGAGGAATTGTTTTTAAAAATAGGAGTCTAGAAATGAAATGCTCGAGATCCATGAGAGAAGATAATTATTGCACGTAAATATCTAGCCTCCTCATCCAGCCATAGCAGCAGTACATTTTCCTCATTTAGGTTTCAATGTCGCTTGTTATCTGGCTTTACGATGTGATGTTCCTCCCTTGCAGTCTATAAAGATAAAAATACTCCTTCTCCATTCATTGAAAAATTTATTAATGATGATGGAGAGGCAGCAAGAGAAGCAAAGACAGACCATATCTATATGGATGCTATGGGTTTCGGCATGGGCAATTGCTGTCTTCAGGTAAGTGTCTTGCAAAATTTGAAAGTAATAATTTCACTTGGTTACAGTATTCTACCATAATTTCCCACATATATCATATTTATTTCTTGACAGGTAACATTTCAGGCATGCAGCATCTCCGAAGCCAGGTATCTCTATGACCAGCTCGCGACAATTTGCCCTATTGTGGTAAGTGTAAGCTTATGTAAGAAACTAATTTGTGTAGGAATGCATTAATCATTAAAAGGTAATTCCAGTCTGGTTCTTAAAAATAAAGAACATTTTTATCTGATTGAAATACATATTGGAAAATTTAGGGATTGAGTAAGTAGGTCAGGACATTTAATAATGTGTGTTTGATATCAATGTCTAAAAGCACATCACAAAGAGTTTCTGTTAAGTATGGTGACTATTTGTAGGCAACTGCAGCAGCCAATTTGTGCGCAGGAATGTCTCATGAAGTGAACCGTGTCAGCTTGGCTCAGTGGTAGCACTCTCACCTCTGCGTCAGAAGGTTATTGTTTCAAACCCCACGTCAGGACTTGGAATCACATAATCTAAGCTGACAGTGCAGTGTAGTGCTGGGGGTGGTGTTGCAGTATTGGAGGTGCTGTCCTTCAGATGCAACATTAAGCTAAGATCACATCTGCCTGTTCAGGTGGACGGTAAAGATCTCATGGCACTATTTGAAAAGAGAAAGAAGTTTCTCTTGGTGTCCTAGTCAACAAATCCCCCAAATAAAATTGGTCATTCACTCCAGGACATCACTGAGCGCAAATTGGTTGCTAGGTTTTTCCCACAAAATACACAGTCAGTCCACTTCACACTATATCCGGCTTTGTGATGTCTCAATGACTTGATAAGGTGCTGTATCAAATGCAAGAATTATTATTGATGATAAATTTATCTAGAGGGTTATTGGCTAGAACAAGAAGTGATACCTCATTTTTACTAATAATATAATGGTATCTACTATAAATGGCAGAAATGGACCTCTGTTTAATAACATTCGAAGAACTGAACCTCTGACACTAGACTGCTACCCCAGCACCGCTTTTTTGTAGAGGGAAAAGTTCAAAGTCTTAGGGGTGAAAAAATATTATGGAGTCTTTACTTGATTTACTTGATTAATCTCTAGCATGACTTTACACTGGAATAGCACTTTTCGGAAAGAAAATACTGAACAAATGTAATCGGGAGTACCAAAGTGGAGAGTTATGAATATTGACGAAATATACGGGGATGGAAAAGGATGGTAAGGAAGGAACTGCGACAGGAAGCAAGAGAAAAAACATTTTGGTCATTTTCCAGAAAGCAGGGCCCTAATGACTTAAAGCTCAGTAACCAATAGTGGGCTGGACAGATGAAGAATGATAGACTGGAATCAGGGGAGCTGATTGGACTGGGAGGAGGTTGCATGGGTTCTTCTCAACACCACTGTCGATATAACCCCCTCCCCTCACTTGTATCCTCCTTCACCTGGTAATTATCTGTGGTCTCTCCATCTCTGATCACTTCCTTTCCCTTCCCAATTCACCCCCCTACCTTCATGACATCTACCCATTCCATCCCACAGTCGGGGAGTGGGGAAGCTTTCATTCTCTTTGCTGTGGAACTTTTCTGAAATCTGACTGACTTACGCCTCTCTTTCTGCTTCCAAGTCCATCTAAACACTTACCTCTTTGACTGTGCCTTCAACTATATTCCCTATTTTCCTTAAGTGTAGTTCTGTAGCTCAGTGGTTAGAGCACTCCTCTCACAAGGTGAGACCTAGGTTCAATTCCTGGCAAGGCGAAATGTTGAGCAGGTTTCCTTACTCCACACACCTCTGTTTACCTAGCAGTAAGTAGGAACACGATTGTTAGTCGATTGGCGGATCGCTTTTCCAGGGGTAATAATTCCTTCAAATTCCTTCGAGAAAATAATAAATTAATAAATTGTAGATTTATTAATTAATAAATTGTGGATTTGTGGACACTGCTGTGCGTAATTGGCTGCTGCATTTCGCCCACAAAATATACAGTTAATTCACTATACGGTATATTCTGTGAAGCACTTTGAGGTGTCTCGATGATGTGATAAAGGTGCTATATCATATCCAAGGATTATTATTGTTACAAACTGTTTTTAACCACGCCTGAATACTGAATTATTACAAAGGCTCATCCAGAAATATATTGAATAAAAAAAATCTGATTGTAAGTGGGAGCAATCCCCACCCTACGCGCACATAAAGTATTGGTACAATGAACAAATCAATAAGTACCTTTACTCTTTGATTAGCTTATTGGCCTGCTTGCCTTCCAGACATTGTCAAACATTGTAGTTAGACTGAGACATGCTACCACTCAGTGGCAATACTTAGTTACTGCAACAAAATCAAATACAATATTCATTCACAATCAGCAATAAGATTGTGAATGAATATTGTACTGGGTGAATCTGTATGCCATTAATAAATTAAGGAAATACTGCAACAAGTAATTTTGCAAAAAAATATTTGTTTTAGGTTTCAATCACCCAAACAGCTCGCACAGATCAGGAAGGGCCCAGGTTCATTTCTGTACAAAGGGAAGCTTTCTCACTGAATGAAGTTTCTCAGAGGTTGTAATGAAGCTGCTAAGTATGCAATAAAAACAGAAGTCGCTGGGACACTCAGCAGGTCAGGCATAGCTGAGCGTTCCTGGCGATTTCCGTTTTACTTCAGATTTCCAGTATCTTCAGTAGTTTGCCTTCTGCTAAATATGCATGTGTCCCTCGCTCCAATGACCCCTCCCCCACACACACACACAAACACACATACGGGTCAAATCAGTGCCAAATTAACCCTATATGCCACCATCTTTCTCCAGGACACTTTAAATTCTACTCTGTTTAACATTTATTAAACAAGACTGAGAAAGAATCCCCTTTATTATTAGTCAGGAAATTGGGAAGAATGTGAATGAGGAAGAATGCGGAGCCTTCAAAGAAGAATTGAATTATAAGCTGTTTTTTTCCTGCAAATTAATTTGCTTTGCTAATAATTCTAAGAATTTTATACAGGAAATACATTGAAGATTGTCTTCCAGAAGCAAACACTTGATTTTCACGATCAGTGTCACAATCAGTAATATGATTTGGATGACAATAGAACAAGAGGACGTAGGTTTAGAGTTACAAAAGGCAATTTCAGGACAGATACCTGGAAGTTTATTTTTGCAGAGCATAATCAGTGACAAGAACAGGTTGTCAGGAAAGGTAGTGGAGGTCAGGGCACAAGACTCGATCAAAAAGCACTTGATACAATGATGTGGGGGGGAGGTGGGGACACAACTAGGGTGGATGTTCTGGAGAGATGAGATTGGATGGGCTGAAGGGTCTTCGTGATTCAAACCGATTTTGTGACCATTTTTAAGAAAATATAGGTGTTGCAATAAATTTAGATGCATTATTCTTTCCAGATGGCCTTGAGTGCTGCCTCGCCAATTTATAGAGGTTATGTGTCTGACATTGACTGTCGTTGGGGAATAATTTCTGCCTCTGTCGACGACCGGACGCGAGAAGAAAGAGGTTTAGAGGTAACTGATAGGGAACATTTTTTAATAGATGTATTTTGTTTGTCATTTATTGTGAACAAGATAAATTTTGTGCTTTTTAAATATTCACAGCCTTGTAAGTACAGTAAGTACAGAATCAGCAAATCAAGATACGACTCCATTGATAGTTACCTCTCAAAATGTGGTGAGAAATACAATGACATAGAAGTAACAATTGATGAAGAAATCTACCATCAGCTTCGAGATGGAGGTAATCATAACAAATTATATATCATGGGACAATAACCATTGTAATGCAGAAATATATAAAAATGCTATACATTAATGTCCGGATGAAACTATGCCTGAATGGCATTAAACACTATAGTACCATGCAATTCAGTGGTATGAAAGAGCAACAGTCATGTAGGTTCCCAATAGCAACATTTTGCAGTTTCAAGTAGGCTAATGTTTCAAAGTGCTTTTCAGAGTCAGTAATTTGGAGGGACTAGGAGGGGTGACCAAAGGCGTGGTTGAATTTGTAGGTTTCTGGAAGGGATTCGAAGGCTGGAAGTGTGTAAGTTGGACTAATTCTGGAATGGAATTGCAGAGAGGTAAAGAATTTGGTCAATTACTATTGGTGGCGAAGGATATGGTCAGTTACTATTGGTGCTAAAGGTTTCCGCTGTTCATATAACCCTTTCTCATTCACCTATTACAAACGGAAATTCGTCAGCTGTTGGTCAGAGGGAAGGAAAGATAGAATCCAACAATGTTTTAAGAATTTTGTGCCTTCCACGACAATCTTAATCAGGTGATCTTTCCCAGGTCTGCTGTATGTAAATCCATATTGTGGATTATTCTTTTCTGTTGGCAACAGTTCAGGTTATATCCTACTTTGTTTCTTTTAAATTTATTCTTTGTTCTGGCTCAATTCTGGATTCTTATACAGGAAGTTAGAGTAAAAAAACAAAAAAAAATGTGAGTTTTTGTCCAAATTAGTCATTTGCCATTTTTGACAAGTGCATCTTAGAATAGGTTTGCTGAAGTCTGTCTTGAGACTGAGTCTCAACCTTGGTCGATACAAGTTCCTAGATTTAAACTTTTGAGAATATCTGTTATTTCTCAGTAATTTAATGTGGATTCTGTGCTTGTGAAACCGGCTCCCACATGTATATAAAGACTTGCAAATAACTTTTATTAGAAGGCAGTCCTAGTTACAACAATGTTTGATTGCTTTAGTTCAGAAAGAGCCCTTGTTCAATTTCTACACAGAAGCACACTTCTGGCTGTGAGTCGGAAAATTAATTAATCCTAAAACAAGGAGGTCTCTGAAATATTTCCCAAGAAAAATTATATGATTGTACTGGGACAGATAGGAATGGAAACTTGAAAGCACAGAACCCAAAGGTTGACCATGCAGGAAGATTTGTCGACCTTTCTATTCTCAATGTAAAAGGCAGCAGAAAGGTGAAGGAGGGGAGTGCAGTCAGACAAAGATATTGGAGACTTTTGACGAGGGTGATGTCAATGCTATGAGCAGATCAAAAATCTTGAGTAGGATCCTGAAAAACAAACTGCATAAGTGTTGAGATGATAACTTGTTCCAGTATCTTGACAAGAAAGGGCATCTTAGAGAGAAGGTGGAAGTTTCAGAAGTTAGAAGGGGGCATGGGTAGGTTTTGTAACCATTTGGAAGGGCAGATTGTAGTATTATGGAATTAATTTCTCTTATTTGACTTACTTTTGCTTTGAGTAATTTCCGTTCATTTGCACTGCAATCCTTCCTTGTTCTCAGTACATTAAACTCCAGTTTAATATGGATTTTTTTTTCAAATTGATTTTGACCTATCTGCATTGTTTGCAAGTTATGTACAATAATTATCCCACAATATTGCATTGCTAATTCTGTTTCCAAATTACCAAGTTCTTATGAGTAGACAATGTTTTCATTTTATGATTAAAACATAATAAATAGCCTTCCTACTCAGTGCATGATTCTGTGTTAGATTCAATTCTGGAATATTCTATGTAAATTAAAGGCTAGTTGTTGACTGTTCTGTATTTTGAAGAATTAATATTTAAAGCAATGAGAGAATCGCGAGCCACGATTTTGCTGTGGAAACCGCAACTTTTACCACACAACTTGTAATGAACACAGTGAGTATGTGCTCCTGTTGGACCAACTGCTTGTCCATCAACCCATTCTGCATTCATTGGACCATCATACCAATCTTGTGATAGAATAAAGTAGATTATTGTCCCATAAATTTACATTGCTAATTGTGTTACCAAATTACCAAATTGTTAAGTATACAACGTTTACATTTTTAATTAAAACATAATAAATAACCTTCCCCTCAATGCACTCGGTGTGGGATTCGGTGTTAGATTAAATTCAGTGACAGGCTATATAAATTAAGGGCTTGTTGTTGACTCTTGTGCTATTTTTAGGCTTGTGGTTGGTGGGAGTATAGGTAGTAAAATGTGGAGCATTTGGGGAAATGGATGGTCCAGTGAGAGTACAGGATGGGTTGATAGACAGGTGGATGGTTCAGTAGGAATGCGTGGTGCGTTGATGGACAGGTGGACGCTCCAATAGGTACTTGAACTTGAACTCACCCCTCCAAAATCACTTCAAAATGTGGCCACAACCTTTGGACCAAAAAAACGTGACTTTCTTAATATGTATTCTGATCAGTTTGTTCCATGGATATAACCGTTAAATTGTATCTTCAGAAGTATTAAAATTACACTGAGTGGATGTTGAGTTGTTGTTGCTGAATGTGCAGCACAAAACCACCAGATAGAACTATGTGAATACAGAAAGAAATGGGGCTTTTGTGAGTTAAGGATTGTAACCCAGAAAAATGCTTTACTTGCATTGTATATGACATCATTTATATTTGTCAAATGCTATCATGGACTGCTTCAACATCCATTTGTAGTAAGGCATCCTATAGCCTTACCCACAGTGTCCCTCCTATTGAAAAATAATGTAAAAATGAATAGTGAATTTGCTGGAATGTACATTCTAACTCGATATTCTTGAGCGACTCCAATGGTTACTTTTTTCCTAAGGGAAGTGAAAATGTGTTTTTCAGGTATTGATCATCTCCTGGCACAGCATCTAGCTCATCTTTTTATTCGGGATCCTTTGACACTGTATGCAGAAAAGATACACTTGGATGATGCAAATGAGTCTGACCACTTTGAGGTAATATCACGAGTATTGATGCTCTTTTTAGGTATGTGGTTGGTTGGATGGAGTGTTGATGGTAAAATGGGGAGCATTGATCCTCTTTAAGCATTGCTAAAAGCATTGACTGCTAGATTATCTGTTATCTATGGATAATTGAATCTGACAGGTACCTGAATACTGCTGCAAATCAAAGCAGTATCTACTGTGTGAACAGATCATTCCACTTTGAATTTAAAAAATTGTATTGATTCTGTTTGTTTAGAAGTGGTCTACATGATCTAAAAGTAACAATGTCACAAATTTCCCGCACATAAATGGTATCCCTCGTCTTAATGTTGCTTCAGCATCCAAGGCTGCACTCTCCACCTCTCAAAGCCAGTCAGGAACCTCGGCGTTTTGTTCGACCCTAAGCTGTCCTTTCAACCTCACATCCGCACCACAACTGGCACCGCCTTCCATCACCTCCGGAACATCGCCAGACTACGGCATTACCTCACCCCTCACACTGCTGAAACCCTGGTCCACGCCTTTGTCACCTCAAGGCTGGACTATGGGAACTCTCTCCTCGCCGGCCTTCCCGCCACCTCCCTCCACAAGCTGCAGGTCATTCAGAACTCTGCAGCTCGTGTACTGTCCCGCACCAGGCTTCGGGACCACATCACACCCACCCTCGCTCGCCTCCACTGGCTCCCCATCCCCCAGAGGATTGATTTCAAGATACTCAACGTCACCTATAAGGCCATCCACGGCCTTGCTCCCTCCTACCTCTCTGACCTACTATCCCCCTACCTACCTGCCTGTACCCTCCGTTCCTCCGGCTCCGGTCTGCTCCACATCCCCCGCCCCAACCGCCCTACCATCGGTGGTCGGGCCTTCAGCCTCTCAGCCCCCAGGCTCTAGAACTCCGTCCCCCCGTGCCTTCGCCTTGCTTCCTCCCTCTCCTCCTTCAAGGCCGGTCTCAAAACCTTTCTCTTTGACCGAGCCTTCAGCTCCCCTCTCGACTCTCTTCCCCCTCCTCGCTCCCTCCCTTCCCTCCCCTCACCCTGACCATTTCCCCCCTCCTTGCTCCCTCCCTTCCCTGCCCTCACCCTGACCATTTCTCCCCTCCTCGCTCCCTCACTTGCCTCCCCCTGACCATTTCCCCCCTGCTCGGGTCCTGACCCAACTGTGCAGCGCCTTGGGACGTCCTTCTGACGTGAAAGGCGCTTTATAAATGGAATCTTGTTGTTGTTGTTTAACTATATTGCCACTAACGTAATTCAATTTGAACTCATTCTTGCATTTTTTTGTAACTTAACTGTAGAGGATTGGGAGAAAGCATGAAACAGGAAAAGCCACTGGTCCGTTCCTCTCATAGAACACTTGTCATTTCATTTTGCATATATTTTCTGAGAGGGTTTCATATGGGTGACGGTTGAGAGTGAGGAAGGAGAAATGGGGCAAAGGAGTGTAGGGTGAGAGCAGTCATAGGAGCCTTGGCGGAAACATTGGGTACTATAGAAGGCATGGGGCGTGGGCGTGCTCGGGGACACGGGAGGAAGAGTCCGGGCAGGGCGAAACGTTAGGCAAGTTTCCTTACTCCACAAACCTCTGTTTACCTCGCAGTAAACAGTAACCCAGTTGTTAGTTGATTGGCGGATCACTTTACCAGGGGTAATGATCCCTTCAAAAAAAGTCACTCAATCCACGATTGTTTGTGGAAGTAGTTGGCTGCTGTGTTTCACCCACAAAATATACAGTCAATTCACTTTACAGTATATCCTGTGAAGCTCTTTGAGATGTCTCGAAAATGTGATAAGGCGCTACATCAGATGCAAGGATTATTATTATTAAAAGAAACATTAGGTCAGTTAGAACATAAGAACATAAGAATTAGGAATAGGCCATTCGGCCCCTCGAGCCTGCCCCATCATTCAATAAGATCATGGCTGATCTATTCTAACTCCACCAAGCTATTTTCTTCAATTGGCAATTTGCAGTCAACACTGTTCCAAACACTGTGGGTTATCTGTTCCAATCATCACCTAAAAGTTCTGCATCTTTTTAATCTCGACTCAAACGTTGAAGAAGTTCATTTCTGTTTTTTGTAATGTACAATTTTCAAACAACCCTCACTTTTGACGGTGCGATGCTCAAATAGGCTCACAAATGAGCAGCACAAGATAGAAATAACTTTCGACTTAGAATCTGTCTTTGATGTCTAAGCATGTGATGAGCCTTGCTAATCAGCTTTGAACTGATTAGTTGTTTACACAGATCAATATTCTGTCAATAAGCGAACAACAAAAAAAGTTTAGAAAAGTATAAAGGAAATAATGTGGAAAATTAAATATCACCTTTCTATTACTTATAGAATATACAGTCCACTAATTGGCAAACTATGAGATTCAAACCACCTCCACCAAACTCTGAAATTGGATGGAGAGTTGAATTTCGACCTATGGAAGTAAGTGTTGGTAATTTGCATGACGTTTTAAGATGTTCACCTTTATTGTGTAAAGCCACTGTAATATGAAGAATTGTAACCGGTTCCGGCTAAACATGCAGGGAAGCACCTGTTGTGAGGAGTACTGAATGGACCCAGATGGCTCGTCCTTCTCTCTTCCTCCAGCCTTCTGGGAAATTGTTTAATCACTACATGGTATGCATTGCTGAAATTAATGATTTTGTGTAGCACCTTGAGAGTGAACATCTGTTCCACAGTTGGATGCAATAACTGTGAACACAGAAAATTTAATATTGTAGGTAACTGCTAATCAGGCATAGGCAAGTATTGTGTTTGTGTCTGCCCACTGCTCTCCCAGGGGAATGGTTTATGCCCTTCATGGCCTTGCTCCTCCCTACCTCTGTGACCTGCTGACCCAATATCAACCTGTCCGCTCCCTCCGCTCAGCGGGTTGTAGCCTGCTCCACGTGCCCCGCCTGGCCCGCTCCAACATTGGTGGTTGGCCTTCAGCCTTTCTGCCCCCACTCTATTGAATTCCATTCCACATTCCCTTCGCCTCGTTCCCTCCCTTGCCTCCTTCAAGGTGCGTCTCAAACCCTCCTCTTCGACTGAGCCTTCGGCTGCCCTCCCCGATCCCGACCCCCAACTCGGATCCAAAACCGTGACTGTCCATCCAGCGCCTTGGGACATCCTCTCAATGTAAAAGGCACTGTAAAAATATAATTTTGTATTGAAGATCTAATAAACTATTCAGGGTTTGCTCAGGATGAGGCCTTACAGAAGAACAAGGTGAAAGGGAGAATTATTTTATGTTTCCTGTTTTTGATTGTGGACAATGTTTGATATATGAACCATGTTTCTAGTTCTTCATTTTTGCACATGAATGCTTTTGAAAGTAGTTCAACATTCACACCATAATACATATATTATAATGTATATAGGATGAATGAAACCTTGCCCTCACTTAGTAATCTAATAGTAATTTGCAGGAACTATGCACAAGATGTGTTGCATTATTGAGTACTGTTCAGTAATGTATTAGACATTGGTATTGAATGTTAAAGAACTAGTATTGTCCTCAACACTGAATACAGTACAGGAACCTGACTTTTACACCTGTATTGATTGACAGGTGCAGTTAACAGATTTTGAGAATTCTGCATACGTGGTCTTTGTGGTATTACTGACGAGAGTGATTCTTTCATACAAACTGGATTTCCTCATTCCACTCTCAAAGGCAAGTTTTTATTCAATTTGGGCTATGATGGAATTGTCACATTCAGCATTTGGAGATGAATGTAATGCAGTAACTAGTATCCCATGGGGAGGCAACCACTTGGGTATGTTGGAAATAGCTAAAGGTAAAGATAAAAGATAAATATTCCCGGAGTTGAGGGATGATGGTACACTATTATCTGATGTAGATCCTCCCAATGACTTCTCTTACAAACGTCTTCTGGCTTTGGAGAGAATTACAGCATTTTTTTAAAAAAAAGTCTGTCACGAAATTTAATTAATTTATTAAGTGTGATTTAGACCTTGAAGCAGCTGTGTTCTTTCAAATTGTATTTGTGTAACTTACCAACCAGCAATGCTGTGACATACACCTACAGTGTTAGTAATTATCATTAAATTGTATCATTAAACACGGACAAGGCCATCTCAGACCACTTCCTCATCCCCTCTCCTCCCACATCCCCCTACCCTCTTCCAAGCCCACCACCATTTTTTTCCGCCCCAAATTCCTCACAAATGCCCCCTCTTCCTCGGACCTCCTGTCCCTCTGGCCCTCCACCCTCAGCGATCCTAATGCAGCCATCAAGCTGCTGAATGACAGTCTCTCCACAACTTTCAATTCCCTAGTTCCCCTGAAATCCAGGGTTGTTTTGAAACCCACGTGCACCCTCCGGCCCCCCCATCAGAGGTCACGCTTTAGGCCACTACGCCCCAAAACTCTGGAACACTCTCCCTCAATCCCTTCGCCTTTTCCCCTCTCCCCTTTTTCAAGTCCCGCCTGAAAACCTTCCTCTTCGACCGTGCTTACGGCTACCTCCCTTCCCCCGGCCAGGAGTCCGGCTCTGCCACTGTTAAGTGCTCTGAGATGTTATCCTGTATGGAGGGCGTTATATAAATGCGAGTTGTTGTTGAAGTTGTTGTAAACCTCTCTTACTCTCCCCCTCCTGCCCCCCCCCCCACCCCTCCAAAACTTAACGTATAATTGTAGCTAAAAAACATTTCTTGGGTTTGCATCATGGATCTGTTCAGTATAGTAAATTTGTACATAACCACAAATATTTATTTTATTGCAATGTAATGTGCAGTATTATTTCTATTATTCTAATGATGCTTGTTTGCTGAATTAGGTGGATGAAAATTTGAAAGTGGCTCAGAAGCGTGATGCTGTACTCCAAGGATTGTTCTACTTCAGAAAAGAAATCCATAAAAGTAGGAGCACTTAGTTTTGTTTAATGATTGTAGTTATAGTGCAAAATGATTGAAAGCTCTATCACTGATGGGGTGATTGGGCAGTGGAAATGAAGCAGGCTGGTGTTTGCTGAGAAGATGTAGCAGCCAGGACAGTGGGGTCACAGAAGGATTTGAAAGTGAAGATGAGGATCTTGAAGTGAACCCGATAGGGAGTTAATGGAGCCAGAGTCTCATGAGCAGAACACTGGTGTCAGCCTGGCTCAGTTGGTAACCCTCTCGTTTCATAGTCAGGTTGTGGGTCCAGGCAGGACAAGGTGAAACATTGGGCAAGTTTCCTTACTCCACACACACACGCCTCTGTTTACCAGCAGGAAGTAGGAACCCAGTTGTTAATCGATGAGGAATTCTTGGAGTCTTCAATCCTTGGAAAAGAGAGGTTGACCTCGCCAACACTTACATGCATTAAATTGGCCTTTCATCTCATGATGGCAAAACCTTGGGCAAGTTTCCTTACTCCACATGCCTAATAATAATCCCTCCAAAAAACAAAACAATAATAAATTGATCATTTTCAATCCACGATTGTTTCTGGGACACTGCTGTGTGCAATTGGCTGCCGCGTTTCGCCTACAAATATAGTCAATTCACTTTACAGGGTATTCTGTGAAGCTCTTTAAGACGTTTAGAAGATGTGAAAAGCGCTATATCAAATCCAAGGATTATTATTATTATCATTAAGTCCGCTTTTGAACTTTGTCTTAGCTGACTCCATTGCAATGCTGGGAGAGTGTGCCGTGTCCTTCAGATGAAACAGTAAACTGTGTCTGCATGTTCAGGTGGATGATCTTCAACAAGTATAATTTGAAAAGAGAAGGTAGTTTCTCCCAGTGTCCTGGCCAACAATCCTCCAGATAAAATAGGGCATTCACCTCATGGCTGTTTATGGGACACTGCTATGGCCAAATTAGCTGCTGCATTCATCTACAAAACAGTCACTGTACTTTACAATATATCCTGTGAAGCGCTTTGGGACATCTTCCTGAAATGAAAGGTGCTATACCAAATGTAAAGATTGATATTATTTTGGCGGTATAGAAGAGTGAAAAGCCACAACCTGCAAGGCGATCCTGTTAAAGTATAATATGCAGGACATACAGAAAGGCATCATACTTGAACATTTAAGAAATTCTTAAAGTTGGTTTTGCAGGTGCTGTAGGTATATGTTTAGCTGGTGTCTGATACAGAATATCTTCTACAATTTTTTCATGAAGGCTTTATTTAATTAATGCTAATTATGAAAATGATCATTTGCATTTAAAACCTTATAAAATCTGATTTGTTCCTTTTTGTCCCAGCTGGAAACCCAGTTGTCGATGGCTGTAGCAGTTCACACAATGGGATTGATTCAGATACAGAAGATTACACATTAATGACCATAGATACAATCATTAATGGAAAGGTAAGTGCAATTATGTACTTCAAATTTGAACTGAAGAAATGGTGCCTTTAACTTTGGATTATCTGTATCGAAAAAACTACTGTTCACCACTTGTGGTAAACGTTCTTTGTCCTCTACCCTTGTAAAATGATTTATTATTGTTACAACTGGAAGGAACAAAAGCTGCTGTGTAATTCAGATATGACTTTTATACAATCTGTACTTCTCCAAGGTGGGCAGGAGACAAATTGTTCCTTTCCAGTGACTTACACTCCCCCTCACTAGACGCGGAGATCTAGTACTCTTATTTGGCTCTTAAAATCCAGATCTGGCCAAGTCAGATCTAGTACAGTAACTTCCAACAAAATGGTGGTATTAAAAGGTCATGCGACATAAAGCTTTAAATGTTTGTAATTCAGGATCAGATAGTGAAATGTACACTTTGGAAATTCAGGTGTCTCAATAACCCACGTAGATGAGTCAATAACATGAAAAAGAGGGATTAAAAGCAGGTGTTTTCAGAAGGTCCAATAGCCTTTATTATACTAAAAATGTCTTGTATTCTTAAGTAAAATTTATATTTGAGTTGGTACCTATTTTCTAACTGTTCTGATCTTTTTGCAGGAAGGTGTTTTTCCAGGTTTAATCCCAATTATAAACTGTTATCTCGAAAACATGGAAGTAGATGTGGAAACAAGATGCAGCATTTTGAACTACCTTAAGCTGATCAGAAAGCGAGCTTCGGGTAAGATTGCACCTTGAATTTAACATTTGGGTGTTCGTATATCAACCCAGTCATTTAAAAGGGTGACGACCATATCTGACAAATACAGACCCATAGCCAGATATTTATTTTTTCTTCAATTCTTAATTCTACAAATGCCTTTTTCGGGACTTGCCAGAACATTGCTCCCGTATCTGGGTATATTCTAATTATCGTTGCAGGTCAGATGGTTGGCGTATTCAAGATCTTTGTTGGGATTTCAGCACATATTCTAGAGTTCAATGCTCCATGACATTATTTGCATTGCTATATAAATGCAAGTTGTTGTTCTAGGCATACACTCCAGGGGGAGTTACATCATTGGTTTTTCAGTTGAGGCACTAAATCAAGGTCCCATTTACTTGTTTGTCATGTGAACATAAAAGATACCATGGTTCGATTTGAAAAGAGAAGGGGGTTCTGCTAATGCCCTGATCAGCATTCCATTAAATAAATTTGTCATTCATCTCATCACTATTTTTGGAAATTTGCTGTACATAAAATTATTGCTGTTTGCCTCAAAAAATACATTTGACAGTAATTACTATAAAGCCGTTGAGGGTTTTCGACCTGTTTTCATGCAATGTATTAGATACACATTTTCTTTTCTTTAGTATAGTCCACTAAGGGACTCAACCCTTCACCTGCTTTCTCAATGTAATCACCTCAATCATCTCAATGTAGTTGGAACATCTTGATGCTGCCGACTGGCACAACGAGGGATTGCTTTCGTTATGTTCTAGGCCGGAGATATTGTGGAATCCCCCCTTGCTATTGAAGCCTAATAAAGATCAGTTAGAAGTTAACCCATGAGTTAAGTATGTGCTATTCCACTTGTAGGGTTAGCCAGATATCTTACACATTCCACCACTGCTTATGATTTTGCAAACCAGTGTTCTACAAATTTGTGCCACTTAAGCATAGAAATTTCTCAGGCATGGATTGCACACTCCCTCCCTGAAGGAATGCATCGTTCACCTAAATCCGGAGAGTGTTAGTCACAGGTTGGCAGGAACCAAGGCTCAGGACCACAAAGTGTGGCTTGGGGACTGCTGGAGTTAACCAGCTGAAAGTGAGTGAACTGTCTGCTTCTTTCACTTAGTGGGACCCGTCCTGTTTCACGTCCTTAACCCTTCCCACCATCGGCAGTCAGGCTTTCAGCATATTCTGCCTTTGGTCATCTCTCCCCTCCCCATCTCCCTCAGTTTCCACCCCAGTGCCAAGCCAGGACTGTCGAGCACCTTGAGTCATCCTCCCAACGTGAAAGGTGCTTATAAATTTCTGTTGTACTAACCATGGCTTGACATTGAGCCTCTGCTTTGGGGTAAAGAGGGGCAGATAAGGCAGATGCAATGCATCAGGCTGAGTGATGGGAGCAGCTGGATGGTAGGAGATCACAGAAGTAGGATGAATCAAGACAGCGGAGGGATTTGAATGTGAATTTGAAAATCTTGAATTCAGTTCACTGGAGATGATGGGGATGATTGACTCCAAGAACTTGGTCCAGGAGAGGGCACAAGCTGCAGAGTTCTAGATTGTCTCCAACTCGTGTGGGGAGGAGCTGCGGCATCTCGTGAGTAGGAATGGCATGTGAGAAATGGCGCGTGATGAAAGTGGGTGTAAGTTTTAAGGATAGTTGGAGATTGAATTGAGACACTCAAGTTGTGCACTGGCTCTGTGAGGTGGATTGCAGAGGAATCAGTGAAATCCTGTAGCTCAATGGTTCGATTCCCGGCATGGCGAAACCTTGGCAAACTTCCTTACTCAACACGCCTGATAATAATCCCTCAAGAAAAAAGAACAATAATAAATTGGTTATTTCAATCCATGGCTGTTTGTGGGATACTGCTGTGCGCAATTGGCTGCCATGTTTTGCCCACAAATATACAGTCAATTCACTTCACAGTATATTCTGTGAAGCGCTTTGAGACATCTTGAAGACCTGAAAAGTACTATATCAAATGCAAAGATTATTATTATTATAAAAATCACTAACTGCCAATGAACCTTCTATTTCAATGACCAATGGTTTGATTTTCAACAAGTGGCATCTGATGGTTTCATTCTCTAACCAGATTTATTTAGATCTTTTCTCTCAGTATAAATCATTAAATGTGGTAGAGACACTATGCATGTTTGACATTCTGGTGATCACTTGGTACTTGAATCTACTTGTTCTGTGGTGACAGATCAGTGAGGTTTAATAGAAGGAAAACCAACTTTCAAATACTTGCTAATAAAAGAGCAGATATGGTTCAGTGACCCCCAGTACTCTGATGACATACAGTGCAATGTTATTTTGCATCTTTATAGCTCCTTTCACGTCAGGAGGATGCCTCAAAGCAGTTCAGATTGCCTGCTGGGCACCCTAGCCGGGCATGATTCTTACAGGGCAAGACTAGAAGAGACCGTTGCTTAAACACGGTTAACGTGACTCATCCTACTCTGACTTTCTCCAGCTCAGCAGACACTGGCCTGCTTCACATTCCCTCCCTGCCCACCCCACCATCAGCGGTCAGGCCTTCAGCCTTTCTACCCCCACTCTCTAGAACTATTCCCTAGCCTCCTTCACGGTCCGTCTCAAGACCTTCCTCTTTGACCGCAGCTGTGGTCATCTTCCACCCACAGCCCCCTTGGCCCCTGGCTCGAATTCAACTCTCAGCTCAGGTGCAAAACCTCGACTGGCCAGCGTTGTGAGACGTCCTTTTGACATGAAAGGCGCTATACAAATGCAATTTGATGAATTTCTAAGAAAAGCATTCAAACATTCTAAGAGAAATCCAAGAATGCGTAGGAGTAGAAAATACCTCTGATCCCTTTGGCTGGTCCTGAAGTAAATGAAAATCCAATTCCTACTCTTATACCCTACAATCAATTTTGCCAAAGAGCTATCCAATTCCTTCAGTTGGTTGATTCAATCTCTCCACCACCTCTCTGGGTAATCTATTCTACCTATTCACCACTGTGTAAGGAAATTGAATCCAGTTGAAATACTATGCCCACTGTTATTGCAATCAAATCACTTTTAATACATACAATGTGATGTGCTCGTGATATGTTATCTGTTTTACTCATCATCGAAAACTCAGGCTGAATATCCTTGTGCAGGGGCCAGATGTTGGCTCAATATCCAGGCTCTTTGAAGCCATTTGTAAGACAATAGACTGGAGCAGCACACAAGGTTTCACTTAGCATTATTGATGTGTCAGCTTTGGGTGACAAAGTGCTCCAATGAAGCTGACCTGAAGCGTAGGTTCTTAAAGCCCTGGTATCTAGCCTTGGATGCCATTTGTATGTGGCGGCCCAATAAACAGAATGGTAGATGACTTGCCATTGGTAGTCTTCCTTATGTTCTATAAAGGTTCAGCTTTAAACAGAGCTGTATTCCTGCAACACTGCAATATAATTTCCTAATGACTAAAGCAATTAAAAAATATCAAAAATATCAGTGAACAGATGGTGAAGGTTACATAGCACAAATTGTACATTTGGGCAACAGCAACAAATTACATTTGTACAGCGCCTTCACGTCAGGAGGACGTCCCAAAGCACTGGACAGTCAAGGATCCACAGAAGTCTATTAAACTGGCCTGACAATAATGACAAATTGAAACTTGCTTGAAATGCTTGAGTCATGGAAATTTGTGACCTATTTTTTTACAGGAGCGCTGATGACTGCAGCGTGTTGGTTGAGGAAGTTTGTTGCTAATCACCCTAACTACAAGCAAGATAGTGTTGTAAATGAAAAAATCAACTTTGACCTGATTACGAAATGTGACCAAATTGCAAAAGAGATATGTAACTGCCCAGAACTGATTGGAGAACCTGTCAGCAAGGCCAAACATTCAGAAGGCATGACTGGCGCTGTTTAATATCATGTAATTATAGTTATAATACTCTCTGTTGTGAACTGAACAACTTTGCATGGTGCAGAGACCAAACATGCACAAACTAATGAACAGGGCCAACCATGTAAATTAAATCTATTTTGTTGATTAATTAAAATCAATGCCGGCCTGTGCATTGAAGTTGTTGGGTGACGTGTAAGCTACCTGTACATATAATATAAGGTTTTTAAAATTAACAATGTATTTTTAATAACTCTGTATGTAAACTTGGTTGTTGCACAAATTCTGCTGTAGATACAAATGGAGATCTGTACTTTGTATATAATTTTCTTACCAAAAATTCCATTGCTATTTGTTCATTAGCTTTGTAAATGTACTGAGTTAAATTGTTTTGGATCATGTAAGAATAAATGATGAACTCGGTAGATGTTATATTGAATGTTTTGTTGACTGACTAAAATGAATACATTAATTTAGTGTTTGTGTTCACGTTGTGTGTGCAACATTACATGAAAATGCATTGTGCTATTCAAGAATATTTACAGTGTGTAAGGATTTGGGCGTAAAAAAATAGATGAAGGGGAGTGTGCTTGATTGCATTGTTTTAATTGAGGTAATTTAGTAAATGTTTGGTTTTCATGGTGAGAATGAAATTGATCAAGGAGATGAAATTGTAAGTGTAATTTTAATAAATAGATGTATTCTGGAAAATTAGACATTGGACTGAATACTGTACCGAGTTGCACTAATATTCACTAGAAGTTTCAGATTTTTCTTGGTGTTAATAAAAAAGATCACTCCTTGTTTGAGAAGGCTTGTGTCAGAGATTATCTGGTTCATTTCAGAAAATTAACAGCAACTCTGGTCATCATTTCTTTCCTGTGGTTGTGAGCCATATGCCTGTTCTGGTATTTTTGTTTTTGTGGTGTTTTGAGTTGAATCTGTTCAATGTCTAATTCCTGACACTGTAGCGTTGAAGTATTTTGTGACTGGTCATTAGAAGTTACCTACGACTTCTTTCAAGGTGGCTTTAATTGATGTCTGCCTGCATTTACACATCATACCCCTGGTCAATGTACTGTGGAGGAAGTTGTCCTAACACAGATGGTACCAATTAAATTTGCAAGTGTTTGGTCAAAGTTTCTATCGAATTTGGTATCTTTAGAGGTATTCATTGTGCAGGCTAAGTGTCAGCCTGGTTCAGTTGGTAGCACTGTTGCTTTGGTTGTGGGTTTAATTTCCCCCATTAGGTCTTTGAGCTCATTGCCTAGACGGGAGGTCCCAGCACAGCAATGTAGGAGAGTTGCGTTATCAAAAGTGTTGTCCTTCAGATAAGATGTTAAACCGAGATCTGGGTGGATGTCAAAAGATCCCGTGGCACTATTTGAAAAGAGAAGGAAGCTTTTTGCCCACAAAACACATAGTCAAAACTACTTTACAAAACCACTTTACGATATATCCTGTGAGGCGCTTTGAGATTTCTTGGTGACGGAATAAGATGCTATGTCAAATGTCAGGATTGTTATTATTTCTCCGGTGTTCTGGCCAACAATCCCCAGATTGTTTTTTTAATTGGTCATTCAATTCCCAGCTATTGCTGTGCATGAATTAGCTACCACTTTTGCCTACAAATAGTCACTGCACATTACAGGAAACTGCAAAGCACTTAAGACATTTTGATGTGATGAGGAGCTATCTCAAATGCAAGGTTTAAATATGTTTTGACACTTCTTACCTCGGAATAACAGATGTTTTCAAGCAAATATTGATAGAAAATAGTTTTTGGTTATAGCTTTGAGATCCTGGAATGAGAGATTCTTCATGTATAAATCTTTGTTACTGACTATTCCATGATTGTAACTTTAATTTATGGCTGTGCTGATCCACGTTTATTCACAAAACGAGGCAGTTGAAAGTGCCAAACCTTCTGTTTTATCTTCTATTATAAGTGTCCTTGGGAGATTTCAGTATAAATCTGAGTGTCTTTAGAAGAGAAAATGGAAGATGATCCTTTTGCTCATTGAATGTCTCCTTGAGAAGGTTTTGTTCAACTAAAGTAATTATATAAATTAATTGGATACATCTGCCGCTGAAAATTTTTGTAGACATGGTGGTCCCTTCTAAATTCTCTGGGATTCCTAGATACTCCTTCCCTTCCGATCATATAAAATCAATATTAATACGTGCATCAGATGTAGCATCTTATCACATTTCACAGGATTTTTACTGTAAAGCATGGTACTTATTTTGCAAGTAACAAATTGCATTTGTATAACGGTTTTCATGGCAGGAGGATCTCCCAAAGCGCTGGACAGTCGGGGATTCACACTCGAGCTGGTGGTTGGGATCAGGAGGGGTAGAGGGCGGGGAGGGTAGGGGTAGGAGAGTGACCCAAGGCACGGTCAAAGAGGAGCATCTTGAAGAGGCAAGGGAGGGGCTGAGGTGAAGGGAATATGGGATGGAGTTCCAGAGGGTGGGGGCAGAGAGGCCGAAGGCCCGACTGCCAATGGTGGGCTGGGTGAGGCGGGCGATGTGAAGCAGGCCGGAGCCCACTGGAGAAAGCGAGCAGGGTGGTAGACTGTTATGAAGTCGCAGAGGTAGGAGGGAGCAAGACCATGGAGGGCTTTGAAGGTGAGGACCAGGATCTTGAACTGTATCCTCTGTGTGATGGGAAGCCAGTGGAATCAGGCGAGGATGTGGGTGATGGGGTCACGGAGCCTGCTGCGTGAGAGGACACGGGCTGCAGAGTTCTGGATGATCTGCAGCTTATGGAGGGAGGAATGGGGGAGGCCGACAAGCAGGGAGTTTGTGTAGTCGAGCCTGGATGTAATGAATGTGTGGATGAGGGTCTTAGCGGTCTGCGGAGTGAGACAGTGGCAGAGACGGAAGAAGTTGTGGAGGTGAGGAAAGGAGGAGCGGGTCATGGTATGGATGTGGGGCATGAAGGACAGTTGAGAGTTGAACAGGATGCTGAGGTGCCATATTGGCAAACATTTGGGTCCAACATAAAGCTTGGTGGAAAGAAAGCTGAACCTTTAATTAATCGACTACTTGCAGAAACAGTTTTGTAAAATAATTCCAACTGAACTGTTCATCTTTGCTGTCTCATGTTAAATCTGTGCCTTTTTGTAGAACTTAGGGTTATCCAACGTGTTTGGGATCAGTTTATCTATACCGCATACAATCTTAAAAGTTCAATAAGATCTTTCCCTGAGCCGCCTATTCAGAATTTCTCTCCCAAAGTGATCTTTTTCTTCCATTTGATGGCTTACTTATTTAATTTGTGCAATCTGATAATTACTACGTTCTGGATGAAAATATTTGGGTGGAGAATTGTGTTAGTATAAACACAATATATACACAATAGAGCACCAGTAAGGACTAGCTAGTCCTGGGTTGTGCATTTATTGTACATCTTTGAAAACAATGTTGTTTTCCCATTGAGGGAAGGAGGGTCGGGATAGAGGGGAACGTTGGGTAATTTTGGTCCAAGTAGCTACATTATATAGTCAATTCACTTTACAGTATATTCTCTTCCTATCCTCCCTGACCTCCACCCTCCCTGATCACAATCCCCTCTGGGTTGTCCAGTGCCTTGGGACATCCTCCTGACATGAAAGGTGCTGTACAAATGTAATTTTGTATTTTTTTTTGTTCCTCAACCATCTGCAGATTCCTTGATTTTACGTGTACAAATGACAATTTGTTGGTTCCAGAAAAATCTTCATTCCTCCAGAAAAGGGTTTGCAAATCATTAAAAGGGGCTGTGCAATCTTTAGATGTATACGGCATCAGGTGGATGAAATTCTAGCTCCAACAAAGCTGATTGAGTTGCTGTTTTCTGTTGAAGACGTCATTCAGCAAACTGATGAATGCAACCTTTTGAGAGCTTTAAGAAACATCAATAGACATTATTAGTTATGTTCAGTGAGGAGTTTGACCTTTTGTATTTAATTGCATTTATTTTGATGTATTTGCATCTATTGCAAAGGATTTGATCACTTCACACTTGGTTTAAAATAAATTGGGACTTACCCTATTCAGTTCAACTGTGAGGAATCTGTTTTTATTTTAATGCGACCACAACATCTTACAGTTGTACAGCACCTTTTACAGTGAATGAAATCGCCCACAAAATATATAGTCAATTCACCTTATAGTATATTCTGTGAAGCGCTTTGAGAAGTCTCAAAGACGCGATAAGGCACAACATTAAATGCAAGGATGAAGGATTATTACTCTTATTAAATGCTTCTAATGAGTATAGCAGCAGGAAAAAAACATTTTTTTGCGACTTGTATTAGAACAGGGTTTTTAAGGCAGGTAGAGAAGAGGCAAAGGAGCGAGTTCTTACAATTCCAATGGGCGAGGGCAGGGAAACTGAAGGCTTAGCCGCCAGTTGTGAAATAGAAGAAATTGGGAGGTCAGAAGGGTGGAAAGTACTGATGTGGCTTGGAATTGATTGCATCTATAAGGTGAGTGAGAGTGATGAGATGAAAGGGATTTGAATATTAAAATGGGGATCTTAATTCACTGAGCACGACAGTAGAGCTTGGTAAGGATGAGAATAGAAAATGAGTTGGTCCTCACGGAAGATAGTCTGAGAAACCGGTGAATAGATGTCGTGTAACAAAGATAAGAATGAGAGATTTGATGAATGATTGTAGAAGATAGAACAGGTGTTTACTTGTGCACAGTTTTTAATATTTTTGTACAATCCAAAATGACTCAGATGGTGCATTTTCACAGCTAAGCACATCTCAAGTTTCCAAACTGAGAACTGTGTTCATGTTCTCCAGAAACAATGTAAGATTAGGGCAGAGGAAGCAAGAAATGAAAACATGCAAATTTTGCGTGTGGATTTTGACTGTGTTTGACTGGCAGAGGTTAAAAATAAAACTGTGATTAGAGATGTGAAAGTTTCCACTGCAGTCTGCTTGTAAGATTTTATAAACACATTATTCTTAAAATGTCAAATGGTAAATTATCAAGGATAATCGATTCACAATCAAACCACCAATAAATGGGCATAATTGATCACCGTTTGCTTTTTTTTGAAGATTGCTTATTGTGATAATTCTAGGGAAGTTGGTATTAATATAATAACAACAACTAGCATTCATACAGGGTCTCTCATGCGGGATAGTGTCCCAGAGGTCTTGTAAAGATTGAAGCAAATATTATTAGCTGATACACTTTTGGAATAGAACTGCATGTTGTCACTAATCTTGAAAGATTCCTATCTATCTCTTTGATCGAGCCGATGGTCACCTCCTCCTTGCCGTGACTCAGTGGCTAACCCTGTCACTGTGCGGCACTTCAAGACTCTATCCTGCATGAAGGGCGCTGGATGAATGCAAGTCTTTTTTCTTTGTTGATTTGTCTTACACAATTGATCAGTTTTTTTTTAAATTAAACATGGTAACCCAATGCGTTCGATACGGTGAATGTCAAATTGAGCATACCATGCCTATAAAGATATAAGGACACTTCCTGGTGTTTTTTGGATGAATGAACACTCCAGGGGGAAAAAATAACCTCATGGTTCACTTTGTAGTAGAATGTGTCTCTCTTCTATACTGTAGCTGTTCAACAAAAAGCCAAAAGGTTCTGCTGACTTTTACCTGCTAGTCCTGACGAGTGGAACTACACTCAAACTGAGGAAAACTTCCTCACACTTGTGTTCAAATCCCTTCACTCCCTGACACCTCCATACCTCTCTGACCTCCTTAACGCAGCCCCCCCACCAATCCACCACCCAGAGACTTTGCTCGACTGGCACCGACCTCCTGCTCGTCCCTCACACCCTCCG